GCCAATAGCTGCGTAGAGTAAAAGATTTGTTATGAAGGCTTTAATCAAGCATTTAAAGATGTGTTAACACTAAGTATAGTAAAAGTAGTTAACATCATGCAATCAATTAGGATATAGATTCATGTACTGATTGTTTCTTACATTCTCATATCCAATTTCCATCTTGAAGTGATCCTAGGGAATTTGGTTTTGTCATGCACCGTGTTTTGATGGGGGCTGAAATAGATTGTTGTGATTCAAGGGATAATGCTGAAAAAAGATTCTTTATTGAACTGAAAACAGCCGGGAGGTAACACTCTCTGACCCCCCCCCATTTGTGTTTAGTTTTGGAATTAAACTCTAAATTTTTTATTCTTTTTTCCCTCCTGCCTGCAGTTGTTGGACTATCATACTGAGGAAAGATTTGAGTGGGAGAAACTGCTAAAGTTATGGGTACATATATTCTTAGAATATAGATATTGGTTGCTCTATTATTTTATTATTATTTTTTTATTGCTTGAAGCCGTTAATTTATTTCACTCAGATGTTAATGCTTAATATGCTCTGCGAGTGCTTAATAAAACTTATTTTCATAAATCCCGCATTTCCCGTTTATGATTTACCTACTTTAGGCTTGCTGAATGAGGCAATAATTAATTATAGGCCTGTCAGATTCCTCTCAATTATCATAAATGTTAAGTGATTCTGTGGGTGAAGCATTCTGGTCTAACTAATCTCCTCTTTCTCTTTTCACATCTCCTCTAGATTGTTTGGATATGAAGGATTGGAAGTTATAAATCTCAAGGAGGTAAAGAAGGTGCCGAAGATAAAGCACACGCAGGCGGGTGGAAATAGGAGGTGAGCCATATTTCAATCATATGTTATTTTCTACTCTGTATTTTACTATGATAGGATGGTCTCTGTATCATACATTTTCCTTCGAATTTTCCAAGTGATGCCATCATGCCAGGATTTTACACATTTGTGTAAGCATATATGAAAATGTTTTTTTTGGTTGAGCACACATTTGTGGAAGCATATAATAAATTGTTTACATTTCATATTGACATCATCGTATTCCAACATGAAAAGTGGAATAATTTTATTTTTAGCCTGAAAAAATATCCTATCTGCTCTTGCCTTGAACTGAATTTAATTAATTAACCCTTATCTTCTACATGTCATGTTTAGTCCAAAATCAACATGTGCATATTCTAAATAGTGCCTTTCATTGGCCTGTTCGCACTAGAAATAGAAATATACTAAATAGAAGTATTGAAGTAGAGGTAAGCTCGACATATACTAATTGAAGTGTTCTGGTAGGAATTAACACTATAATATATGTCTTGATTATAACTCCAGGGATTTGACAATCTTTTTTTGGTTCACTACAGGCTGCTTAGAAGTGTTCCTTGATATTGATTTATTTAAAACCATACTTCTTGTTAAGTAATTGGAATAAGGCTGATGAAGAAGCTTAAACAAGGTAATTCCAGTAAAAATCTTGGTTATTTCATATACAAAAGTTATTACATGAACTCTAACCATTTACATTCTAAATGCATGTCTCAAGTATTACATTTCTTTTGGACTACGTGCGCATGCATACTATGCCGGCTCTTTGTTTTAGCTTATAAAAGCAAAGGTCAGTATATTTATGTTCAGAAAATGGTAATATGCAATGTTATTTTCTCATGTCTGGGTTTACTTTGGAAAATAAGAAGGTGAATGGAATAGGATTATTATTTTTTAACTGTTTACATTTGTTCAAGTTTCTTAGTGCTCATTTTGTATATAATAGAAATAGATAAATAAGATAAGTAGTATAAAAGATAAATTTGTTGCTCTTGAACTGATGTTCTATTCCCCCATTTCCCTTTCTCTTCTTGACATTTTCCGAGTTCAAACTGACCCTTGGGGTTTGTTTAGATCTATAAAAGTGGCAGGGAGAGAGAAAAATGTCACTAAAACTCATTGTAATTTCTTGTGTATGGTTTTATAATAGAAAATGAAAACGAAGTTGGACAATGATTAATGATTTTAAAATTTTATACATGTTTACATTTCTTAATCTATATGGAATAGAAATAGAAAAATCAAAGATCTTGAAAAACATCAAAATTTGTTTATTAATTTCAACCAATGTTTTATTCTCTCTCACATTTTCTTTCCTTCTAAGTTATCTCTATATTTACACTATTTTTAAGTAGCATTTTCTCTAATGTGGTATTTTAATTATTTGACTGTCCTTTTACACAGGTTGTTGACTGTTGAGTTTGTGGTGATACACACTAGATGATAATTATCCTTGACGCGTATGAAGGGACTCTAAATGATAATTATCCCCCAGGAAATGAATGTTGGAGCATGGGGAACTGCTTTTATATAAGGTAATATCAAATAGGAAAATAGCTGCTTTGCCCTTGACAACGAGACTTTGTGGAAATGCTTTTATATAAGGTGTTAACGCGCGTTGCGCGAAATCCGTGCCCAACGCTAGGAAACAAGCAAAAAATGGGAAAAAACAATTCAAAACGGAAAGAGGAAACAACCATTCAATCATCCAGATACACCATTGTATTGTTTAAAAGCAAACGATAATTTTGGAAACAAGCAGAAAATGGAGGAAAACATGTTGAAACAGAAAGGAAACAACCATTCAGGTCGAATGGTTGTTTCCTCTTTCTACTTTAAACTGGCATCCCACTTTCAAGCTTTTGCCTTTGAATGGTTGTTTCCTCTTTCTATTTTAACATGTTTTCCCCCATTTTTCGGCTTGTTTTCAAACGTTGGGCACGGATATCGCGCAACGTGCGATTCCGCGCTAGTACTTTTATAAGTTTTAGTTTGCACTAGTTATTCAACCAAATATGCAATTATATATGTGGTGAAAATAATTGGGCATTGAAAATGGATGACAGCTTATCCCTTGATATGTCTTGTGTTCATGATTCATGATTAACTTTCATAGTCATTCTAGATGACACTTGTGCTCAAATTGGACTGTCTTGTATGATGCTTCAAAAATGTTTTCAACTCTATATGTTTGATTTTCACAAATTTGTCAATGATGTTACCAATAATTGCTTTCTTCTGAATTATGATCAAAAGAGTGATTCCATATCTTATCGCATTGATACATTTCATATCAAATAAACTAGGGGTGGGCAAACGGGTCCAGAACCGCGGTTCGGGGCAGGTAATAACGGGTCGGGGCGGGTAATGTGCGGTTCTAAATTTTTGAAAAAGGAAACGGGCCGGGCCGGGTAATAACTTATATAGGGTCGGGCCAGTTCCCACAATTCAAAATTACGAGTACCCAGACCGGCCCGTTTAAATTATACTTTCAATTCAAAACTGGCCCATAAGGTTAATGGCCCATAAAAAACTTATGTTGTGTACGTTGAATGAACCACGGAAGTGGTGTTCGTTCACTCAGTGAATTGCTTTCGAAGAATCAATACGGAGCATTATATATATAATATATTGGGAGGAGGAATGTTTCATCTCCTTTCGGTGTGGGACGTATATGATATATCTCCCAAGTGGGAACTGGGAAGAACGCTGAAGACAAAAGGAGTGTCAAACTTTTTGCTATTATCAAATTATTATAATAATCATTATTATACAAAGTATATTATATGGAGTAAGTTGTAAGCCTATAATAAGCACTATAATACTACGTACTACGTACATACTAGTATTATATTATAACTTATATTACTTGTATTTTAATTTTATTATTATTATTATGAAGTATTATCATTGAACTATTTTACCACTCTTAAGTCTTAACTTTTGCATACTATGTTATAAATACGTATCGTGTTTTGAAATCTAGGTTTAATTAGAAAATGTAATAGTTTGATGTTTTCCAATATATTTGTAATAGGATTAATGTGCAAAAAGCGTTACATTAATAATGAATATGTACTAAAATTTGATTTATCATGTTTTGTGTGACTCTTTGTGATTTAGAAGGGGCTTGTCAGATTTTAGAATTATTATAACTCAAGGTAAAATATAGAGATGAAGACCCGAAAAACCCAAACCGAATTACCCGTTTCAAACGGGGCGGGTTAGGTCCGGTTCCTACGATAATAATTGATGTAACCGCCCTGCCCCCACCCGCTCAAAGGAACCGTAGGTTCCTAAAAAATTAAGGTGAACCTGGACCAACCCGGACCGTGCCCAGCCCTAAAAAAACGTCATTAAAGGGATGATTATAATTATGTTCAAAGTTACTATTATGTAGTGATCAAGAGGCAAACTTTGAACACAATTATAGTAACTATAAGTTACCGAGTCACATTTTTGTCCATGACTTTTGTATTAGTAATAGTTTAGAAAAAACCTCGAAAGCTTAACTTTTATTTTCCAGAAACATATTTATGACTTCGAGTATATTAATGATCCTTGTTTTATGATTTTTCAGAACTTGGCCCATTTACCTGACAAGATATCCACACTCATCCGGAGGGAACGACGGAGGGTAAAAACATTTTAGCGCTCAGAGCTCCTCCGTAAAATATACTGTACGGACTAAACCGTTTTCCCGTACTCAGCATCAGCAATTCAGCTATTTTAACTAGAAATTAAACTAATATAAGAATATGTATGAAATGGGAATCAAGCAAACAAGAATCGAAGATGGATTGATCGGGAATAAATAATAGTACATATAATTGAATAACAAATGAATAATATTTAGTTGTTGGACTATATTGATATGTGTGAATAGAAAGTAATAGCTTGATCACCATTGATCGTGAGTGATCTGCCCCCCTTTTACATGATGCTACGGATGTATATATAGAATTACAAACAAAGCTCCCAAATTGATCTTCTATTATTGTGCTAGAGTGGCAACCTCCTAGGAATAAGGGATTTGTTGAACCAACCACCCATATTTCCTACTTTCAAGCTCAGCCATTTTTCCTTATTCTTATCCTTAGTGTTGAGTTTATCATCTAAATGCATGCCTTAATTACATGAATAATACATAAATTATTTGGCAATTAAACGTGCCCACTAAATATTCATGTCCCAACATCAGCATCGCCCTTTGGCATTTGATCTTTCTCGCGAAAACATCGTTTCTCTGCGGCAACCACCTTCAACAACCATTTGTGAAAATTGCCTACAAAATTCAAGATTGAATTCCCGCATCTATGTCCTTTACCTAGATTTATTTATCCAGGACCTCGCATTTTATCGCTCTTATCGAATCCCTGCATAGATGCTCTGAAATAATTCCCCAAGCACCTCCAAATATACAATTCTTCGCCACGCGAGAATGAACCGATCCATAATAGTTACACCCACTGGAAATTGTAACAATGTCGAGAGCTCACAACACCGGTTCGTGGAAGACCTTGAATCCAAACACTGGTAATGATTCGTCGTTGTTCTCTGACCAGATTGACTCCCCCTCCGCCATGAAGCTCCTCTGTGATATTCCCCCAACCCCCCATCACCGCTTTGAGGCGGAGGAAATCAAAGGTGGTGGAGGAGAAGAAGAAGATCCATTGGTCATTGAGGGTCGGATTCTTGGTCTGAATCACATTAGGACTCGCTCAGCTGCTTCACCACCACGTAGGCTTTCAACTGCCATTTCAATGCCATTTGATTATGGAGACGGAGTTGATTCACAGTCTAGGCTATTACCTACTACTGATCAATCGGTTGAGAATTTATCTGAACAAGGTGGCTCTTTCCTTTCCCGATTATGTCTCTACATAATTATTTTATGAGTTGCTAAAAATGTATCAATATGAAGTATATCTGCAATATTAAGATATCTAATGCATTTATTCCAACGGCATTTGAAATTTTGCTAGGTATGAGTATAAGATATAAACTTTTTGTTGCCTTTCTTATTCAAAAAAAAAAAAATACAACGAACGGCATATTTTTTGGAACCTTAATCTGCATAGAATATCCAATCAGAATAATGAGCGGATTGGATTAATCCACATGCTCTTCATTGTACTTTATGAAGAACTCAAGATACTTCAAAGTAAGTGTGTAACCAGGATTAGTTTTTTGTGCAACTTATTTTCCCATTTTTCAGTAGGTAGTTACCCATGGATTTCATACACCCCCCAACATGTCAGGTAAGAGGAGGTTCGGTGGGAGGTTAAGATAAGTGCAAACTAAACTTAAGGAATTGTTCATTATTTTCCTGAATAGCAGCTCTGAAGTTTTTTGCCTTTTCAGGTAAAAGAGTACAATGGAATCAAGCCAATTCTTTGAATGTCCTGTCGCGCACTTGTTCGGGTTCAGAGGTATATCCGTATATGTTCCACTGCTCAGTTAATGGGACACTTTGAATTTTTGTCCTATAATCAAGTTAGTTGATTTCCATCATTTGCAATGGAGCCAAAGACTTGCTATTTTTTGACTTGGTAATATGATGGGATAAAGCGAAATGACTCGTTAAACTGTTTACGCTTCTTCATTATGAAGCATAGTCAATACATGCAATTTTCGACGTGATTTTCACGTGCTATATTACAGAAGTAAGGCTGCGTACATCCAACCCCCACTCACCCCACCGTTGGTGGGAGCCTTTGCGGCACTGGGGTAATGATGATGATGAATCAAGTTAGTTGGAAGGAACCTAGTTAGGTAACTCACCATGTGCTTGTTATTTTCAAAATAAAGTGTCATTTTGCTTATTGTAGGATTACCATGCAGCTTTTGTTAAGGAAATGAGATCTCCACGATGTCAAGCTATTTTGCGTGTCACAAATGGTCGGAGGAAAAGAGTTATAGATATCAAGAGTTTCTCTCATGAGCTCAATCCCAGAGGAGCCCGACCTCTTCCGTTCTGGAGATCTCGTGCTTTTGGGCGAGTGGAGGTATGACCTTTTTCTAAGCTTTGCATTTCCTTATAGCTTCATCTTATTCTAGAGAGTGAACATTGGTTATGTGTATATCACTATTGTTTCCAAGGAAATCATTGTATTATTCCTTGATAACTTGTTATTCTTGCAAATATAATTCTTTAGGAGATTATGGCTATGATTCACTCAAAATTTGATAAACTAAAGGAGGAGGTAAACTATGACTTGAGCATTTTTACTGGAGATATAGTTGGTATTATCGAGAAGATCTCAGAAACCCACCCTGAATGGAGGAAAATTTTGGAAGATTTGCTGGTTATAGCTAGTGAATGTTCAAATATGTCACCTATTGACTTCTGGACGAGGTGTGAAAGTATTGTCCAGAACCTAGATGACCGCAGGCAGGAGTTATCAATGGGTACTGTTAAGCAAGCCCACACTCGCCTCTTATTCATACTCACACGATGCACTCGGCTTGTACAGATCCAAAACGAGAGTTGTTTTGAAGAACATGTCATGGCATCTCACAAACTGTGTGATGTTGGAGCCCATGCAGAACGAGTAATTTGCCCATTTGGGAGGGACAGAAATGGTAGAAGAAACAAGAAAGGTCAAGTGCATGACCATACCAGTCCAACCATTAATCAGTACCAGATGAAGGAATGTTTTGGTGGAGGTGTCACAGAGGAAAGCCCTTTAAAGAATTTTGCTTCACCTATAGGGAGCTATGAAACGTCCTCTTGGAAGAGGTCTCCTTCTGCAGCTGAAAGAAAAGGTGTGGTCCATGACTCTATTGACACCTCTACCTCATCCTCCATAAAATCTGATCATTTACAACATAAAGTAGCAGACAACCATGGATGTGTGGATACTTCAAGTTTCCACCCTGAAGTTTCAGAGGAAACCACAAATGATAGGAGAGTAACCTGGGGAGATTGGGATCATCATAATATCTCTTATGAAGATTCATTTATGTGCCGTATATGTGAAGTTGAAATACCTACTATATTTGTAGAGCAACACTCAAGGATTTGTACAGTTGCTAATAGATGTGATTTAAAAGGTTTGACAGTTAATGAGCGACTCCAAAGACTTGCAGAAACTCTTGAGAAGATACTTGAATCATGGAAATCAGATAGAACTGGCAATGAGTTAGGAAGTCCTGAGATAGTAGGAGTGTCTGCTTTGGCCATGTCGAAAGAGTTGGATGAATTATCATCAAATCAGAATGCTTTGTCTTGTCAATGTTCTGAAGACATGCTCAATTGTATCCACGAGTGTGATACTATTTCCGTTACAGATTTAAACAGTCTTTATGAAACGCCCAAGAAGGATTCATCAGCTGGTATCTCAACACCTCGATCACCAGTGCTGACACCGCGAACTGGCCAGATTACCCTGCTTTTGAGTGGACTCAAGATGATTTCTGAATATGAAAATTTTCAACAGGTATTTCACTGGCCTGACTTGAACATCTAGTGTAGAATCAGTTTAGCTGGATAAATGCTTCTATTTGAAGTCAACTCAGATATCAATGAACCTAAGAGTGCTTCTATTCATATAATTCCTAAGGATTGAGCTTTTATTTGAAATTCTAATCCAGTGCTTATTTACTTTTCATTTTTGTTAATTTGTTTTTCCAAATGATATCTTCTTCTAGGAAAACTGCTTTGCTTGTTATCTGGTCTTAATGGAACTATCATTTTCTGGTCCTGTTATTTGACCTTCAATTCTCATTTCATCTCTATTGATTTTAATTTTTTCCATGTGACCCAACACTTTATTGCCATCTTCAGTTTAATAAAGCCTGCACATTTGTTTGATTATTTGTTCTACCATTGTCACTATTGCATTTGTAACTTTCCTGTTTCCACTTTTCCAGGCAGCAAGTTGCATGCAACCTTATTTTTTGAAGTAGCTTCTATTGTGATGAGACTTCTGTGTATGGGTGGAAGATTGGGTAGGTTAAAAATGAGACTGAAAATTTGAGCATTTTTTAATAAGGTAGTCTTTAAAGTCAGATGGGTTAAAGAGAAGTCCAAGACCCATTAGTCATTAACTCCAAGCCATTTGTGTTGCTGGTGTACCATTCTTTTTTTGGAAATTGCACAAATCGTTGCCTCTCTCAATCACACAAATTTTTTTGGACAGTATTCTTTTGAAACTTGACTTTTTTGGGATGTAGGAAGTAAGTGTAAATATTTTTGCTTTTTCTTATGATCTTCACTTACTTAAATGAATTATATAACTTTTTACAAGTAGTATATATATTACCTACATCATTAAGCCACTACTTACGACCGTAAAAAAAAACCTACATCATTAAGCCTTGATTGTCCTTGAGGCTTACACCTCATAGGCTAAAGCAAAATGCCTCGAATCCCATGTTAGGTTTTTAAACCTGGATCTTATGATAAAAATCAAAGTTACATGAATTGTGTAATGTGCAACCCTGAATGAACAGCTTCTATGGGCAGTTCAAATTCAGCCTACTCAAATTTACTCGTGGTTCAAAGTAGCTCACCCAAACCAGTATGGCATCAGCCAAAGCTTTAGTGCTTTTCCGTCCATTGCATATTTCGCTTAAATTTGTATTAAGATGACAATTAAAAGATGTAACTATTTCATTGGTGTTTTTTTAATGTGGAGCTATCTATCTATTAATGAACTGATGAACTTCAATTGTTTCTCCCGTAACTTGCTCAATTTGTTATACCACTTTGACTGGCATGGCAGATAAATAAGCTGCTGCATATTGTTCGATCAGTTGTCACCATCAACAACAGTGATTGTAATTCCTTGGAAAATTTGCTCGAATGCCTAGACGACATGAAGTATGCCATTCAAGACAGGAAGGTTGATGCTCTTGTTGTAGAGACAATTGGGAGGCGCATAGAAAAATTATTGCAGTGAGTTGAATGTTTCTGTGCATTTCATATGAAAATGATATTGTGGCGTGTTTAAAATACTTCAATCTTCATTTGTTTAAACTTTTTAAAGAAAAGTTTGCTTGAACGTCCCAGAACTTAAATACTCCCTCCATTTTCATCTAAAAACATTTTTGTTTGAAAGATTGATTCCAACATTATTACACTGTTTTGTTTGGGGGGAGGGGGGGTTGAAATACTTATCTTTTCCTTCTGCTGCTGCTTTGTGTTTTCCTTATAACCACCGACAATATAATCAACCACAAAACACTTCAGCGAGAAATATGTTCTACTTTGTGGGCATATTGAAGAAGAGAAGGGAGATTCACCAACTAGTGCAGCTGATGAAGAAAGTTCCGTTGATGAGGATACAATACGCAGTTTGCGTGCAAGTCCTATCCGCCAAAGCTCTAAGGACCGAACATCTATTGAAGATTTTGAGATAATACGACCAATCAGCAGGGGTACTTTTGGGCGAGTATTCTTGGCTAAAAAACGGGCCACTGGTGATTTGTTTGCGATAAAGGTCAGAATCTATATCCTGGGGTGGGGTGAATGGTTAAGACTTTAAACAACACCCAACATTCTTTCGAGTTTTACATCCTCCTTATATTAGTGTATACAAGTTGAAATAAAGAATGAAATTCCCATTAGAGATATTAGGTGACCAAATGTAATGCATATGTCTAACAATTACCAGTCTTTAGTTCTCTTTATACACCTTTTTGTTTGTTTGTGTAGGGTGTATAGTCACCCCAACCAACAATTTACACATAGCCACTGCAGTTAACTATTATGTAATTATCTCAATAAGACTGCAGTGCATAGAGTTATTATTTCATCTAGTGTCCCTAAGTTGCTTGCTTTTCTCCTGTTGGACTTTCTTAAAGTCTAATTGTTATTCTTATTCATATTATTTGGGGGTGGGATAAATCTAGATGTATTTTTATACCTCTTTGATGGATGACTTGTATTTCAGCACTAAAAACTTTCCTTGAGAGAAGTTTTGTATGATTGTATATTTCTCATCTCTGCACCTCTGAGCTACACAGTTCTTTACAATTGCTAATGCAACCAAACAGTTTTCTTCAGGTGCTGAGAAAAGCTGATATGATACGGAAAAATGCCGTGGAGAATATTTTGGCTGAACGTGATATCCTAATTTCAGTCCGCAATCCATTTGTGGTCAGCAAATCTTTAAATCAGATAGTCATCCACATTACCTTCTCTTGCATGATTACAAGAATTCTTCAAACCTGGCTTTACTAATTCAGGATCTGATGGGGAACAGGTCCGCTTTTTCTACTCGTTCACATGCAGGGATAATCTTTATCTTGTCATGGAGTACCTAAATGGAGGAGATATGTTCTCTTTACTAAGGAATCTTGGATGCTTTGAAGAAGATACAGCCTGCGTATATATCGCTGAAGTTGTAAGCACATACTCTTATGCAACCCATTAAATTTCAACAAACAGTTCTACAAAGAATGATGTTTTTTTTTTTAATGCTCAGATTCTTGCTTTGGAATATCTTCATTCATTAAATATTATTCATAGAGATCTGAAGCCGGACAATTTGCTGATAGGCCCAGAGGGTCACATCAAGGTCATAATGTCCCTATTGCTTCCCAACTTTTAATAGTGCATATTTGCATTCCTGATACTCCATAGTTATTGCAGTTTAATGACACATTGTGGATCAATATTTGCTGCTGCAAGTGGGCATGAAAATTGACCCAATGGCAGTTTACCATCTTGCAGGAGTTTATGACAAGAATTATTGTTACTTTTTTTTTGTCAAGAAAATCAACTGTCACATTCATTTGTTTTATCTGTACTCGTTATGTACTAATTCTGGGTAGCTCATAAGCTCTGTCCAATCAATAATTGATTATGTATATTTTGATAGTGTATATTTGTGAGGAACTCCTCATAAATCTAAATTCTTCCCATAACACAGTTGACAGATTTTGGACTCTCCAAGGCAGGCCTTATCAATAGCACTGATGACTTGTCACGTCCATCAAATTCGACATTTCTTGAGGATGATAAACCAAAAGTGAAATCATCACTTCAAAGAGATCAGAGGCAAAAGAGTTCTGTTGTTGGTACCCCTGATTATTTGGCACCTGAGATACTCCTTGGCATGGAGCATGGTGAGAATCCCTGTTGATGACCGATCTGACATAGTACACCAGCTCAAGTTATTGCTCTGTTTGTCTTATTCTAAATGTTCTCCCATTCTGCTTATAGGTTCAACAGCTGACTGGTGGTCTGTTGGTGTGATTGTGTTTGAGCTCCTTGTTGGTATTCCACCTTTTAATGCAGAACAACCTCAGGTATCTGTACATATATAAACACTTATTATGAGGTCTTATCTTATTGAGTCTGATTCTTTACATCAAATATTGTGCTTGACTGTCCACAAATGTTCTTGTAAATAAAGCGGGTGTAGCTTTTGCAATTATATTCTGATTCTGCGATTCATATAAATTTGATAGAATCTCTTGCACCATTTTCTGAGTTCTTAATCTTCTTGCATTGCCACGTTGGCAACTTAGGAGCTGCTGAATATCAAATTTTAGTTACTCTGTATTTCTCTTGACAACTTCGCCTGGGGTTTCATTTAATGAAAGCCAAGGTTGCAAGGCTCTATGTGGAATTCATTTGGCGCTAAAGTTACTTCCCTTTATAATTTGATTTTTGGATTTTATGCGCATCCTTGTCTTTCATTCTTAAAATATGTATGTATTTAGAAGTCTTCATTTTGAATCTTTGATACATGAAAATATGAAAGAGAAGTGTTGGTGGTAGGTTCTCCAACACTACTAGTCAAACCCAGTCTGCATAGACTTTTTTGTATACATACATTTCAAACCTAAAAAAAACATTGAGACCCTCAACGTGAAGTTTCCCAGTTCCCACGCCCTTGTCTCTGAAATGTTTGTGGAGCAGTCACAACTCAGTGACAAATAAGCTCTGTAGCTATGCGTTATTGATTATCAATTGATCAGTATAGTCTAATATCACACTAACACATCTCAAATATGGAGACCAGCATTGGTGGGACATCCTAAGGAATGAGCAAAATGCCTAACCACCCCAGTAAGGATGCTAGGGGATCTACATGGAGAATGATGACATTTAACAGCTTTAACTTGAATGAGTTCTGAGCTAATGTTTGGGTTTTACTTTAATATTTTATTTACCGGTAATGTCGTTTTAGTTATTTTATTTTAGAGCGGACATCCTTGTGATTTTTATCTGGCTCTTTACTCAAATCAAATGCAAACAGTCCAGTCAAAATTCGAACCATAGTATCATATAGGTCTAATGTGCCCATAAGATGCATTAATAATCAATTTCTCCAACTTTCATGCATTTCCTTCCAACATGTATGCCATTTATTCCACTTGATGGCTGATGTGTATAAAACATTTCCCAAAGCTTTGCAACATAGCAATTGTAAATGATTATATCACATTGTGTGATACAGCAAATTTTTAACAATATCATGAATAGAGACATACCTTGGCCTAAGGTACCAGATGAAATAAGCTTTGAAGCGTACGATTTCATTAACAAGTAAGTTATAATTGCTCAAGCTCTCAAGATAGTGCATATTGTGTTGTGTTTTTTCTCTCTTCTTATTTTCCTCCCAATTTATACACATGCTTATTTGTTGTAGGTTGCTGTGCGAAAATCCTAATCAAAGATTAGGTTCAACTGGGGCTGGAGAGGTTAAAAAGTTCTTCCCTAATGATGTGGATATGATTTAAATTTTTATTAAACAGTGTTAACTTCAATTTCTTTTGTTTTTCTCATAAATAGGTAAAACAACATCAGTTTTTTAAGAATATCAGCTGGGACACACTGTCAAGGCAAAAGGTCTCTATCGCTCTCTCCCAATGTATTTAGGCTGTATTTGGAATCCAGAAAATCTAATTTGGTTTTACCTTGGATAATACCATGGAATATCAAATTTGATTAGACATTTTCATGAATTTAAATATAGTTAGATTTCTTAGTATATACATAATAGAAATATATACATGAAATAAGTTTGAACAAATATCTAAATTGATATATTGAGTGTGAAATAACTTTTTCTTCAATTACCATCTATTTACCTTCTTATTTTTTATATGTGGCACTTGTGTTCCAAAAGGACCCTAAGGCTATTGCAAAAGTAGGGCTTATATTTCTCAAATGTTATTGTGTATAGGCAGCATTCATACCGGCTGCAGAACCACATGACACTAGTTATTTTATGAGTCGTTACATTTGGAACCCAGAAGGTGAAGATTTTAATGGTGGGAGTAGTGAGTTTGATGATACAAGTGAGGCAGGGAGTGTATCATGCAGCAGTAGTTCATATCAAGATGAAGAGGTATATATTTTATACCTGCTTCAATTTCTACATCTTAGGCCGAGTTTGATAAACCGTAATATAACATGTAACACAATCTAATTAAACACTCACCTTCCTAAAAAAAGAGCCATGTTTCATGATCTTATTTTGTCCCAAAAAAGAGTGAGTCTAAATAAAGTTATTTTTCATGCAATTTACCAAAAACGAGTCGTAAACAAGCTATACATTATAAATTTCATAAAATAACACATAAGTTCAATTAATAAATAGAACTATAATTAATTATCACAAATGTTCCTGTCAGGTATATTTGATCGGAGCCTCCGTATGGCCACCACGTTTTGAGGTGGTTCCCAGTGTAATTTTTTAATGAAATATTTTGAGCATGTTCTTCATTCAGTCTAGTTTGTCCATACCAAATTTCAGCAAAAAATTCAATCGGGAAGGTAATCAAATAATTTTTGGAAGTTAACTGCGTTTTATATGTATATAAAGGGCGCGGTTATCTTCCAAAAATTATTTGACTGCCTTCCCGATTGAATTTTAAGCTGGAATTTAGTATGGATAAGCTAGACTTGATGAAGAACATGCTCAAACAATTTCATCAAAAAATCCCACCGGGAACCACCTCAAAACGTGGTAGCCAGACGGCGGCTACAGTCAGGTATACCTTACCAGAAGATTACTCATTAATTATTTACCTTACCAAAAGTATAAAGTTATACATTGGTTAAACAATAGAATTTTTTGGGACAGAAATCTTACATTTTTTAACTGCGAATTTATATCAATACATCATACTTACTATTGATTAAATTACAAAATGAATACTATTAGGCCTTACCAGACATGACCTTAATTAGTCAAGACTTTACATCAAAGTCTCCTTCAATGTCGCGTACTTATTGACTGCTTAATGCTGAAAGTTGCTTTACATTGCATGGCAAATAGCCAATTATAACCACTCTAATCCATAGTCCTTGCCACTGAAACAGGGGGAAGAATTTGGATATTTTGCAGAGTTTGGTGCTGTATCCCCTAACATGAAATATGCCTTTAATAACTTTTCATTTAAGGTAAAGACCTGCCATCCCAATTCTTGTTATGTTTCATAGTTCAAGTAAACAAGTTTTGAAATTAAATAATAAATAAAAAAGTGAACTGCCTCTAGTATCTACTAATCCTGAAATTCCAATCTTCTGAAATTATTTGTTTGATGTTTTCTCAGAATTTGTCACAACTGGCTTCAATTAACTATGATTTGGTAGTAAAGGGTTCAAAAGAATCAGCTGAAGTTGCAAAGAAGTCATCCATTGCATAACGAACTTGAATGAGTGAAGACACTTCTGTCCCTTCCCATTTGTCACCTTTTTATTAGTCAGACGAGTTTGGAAGAAGCAGATAATTGCGAGACTTAGCTGAGTGTAGATTACTTTTCATGAAATATAGATTAAATTAATCCTTACAAAGCTTAGGGTGCTAAACGGATTAGGCAATATGTTAGCGGATGCACTGATTTTACTCCTTTTACCTTGATAAATTAAATTTGCCATTATTTGCTAGCAACAACTGAGGTCATGTTTTCGACAGGGAAAAGACCAGCCTATATGAAGTCAAACAATGTCTAGCTAGCTGGTTTACAGCTTACAACTTGTTATAAAAAATTAAAAATAGCTTAAATAAATTTAGCGGCACATTCCGAAATAGTTTAAACAAAATAACATTTAAATCTTATCTTTTCTGTTTAATCAGATAATTCGGCCTGTGCGGGTCGACACTAAAACCGATGACCCGCTGGGAATACCGGGTTGGTTATAATAAACCCAAAAATCAGTCCAAATCTGGTGGAACCCAACAACCTATTTGAAACCTGGCCAGGAAACCAGCCCATGGTAATACCCAGTAACCCGTAGTTTAAAAAACTCAAGTTGAGTTGGAATCGATCCCAAGATACTGTGAAAATTCCAGGTACTAGTATAGTACTACTTCCGTCATACTAGTATAGTACTACCTCCGCCCCCCTTACGTTGGAATGAAAGGGAGTGGTTAGGGATGGATCCGGGTGGGACCCGGGCGTTACTGGTTCCGAAAAGTGAAGTCCGGCACCGGTTCCGGTTTGTGCTCAAACAGTTCCGGGTTGATACCCACCCATTTTTTTTTCAAATCAAGCCCGAAGTCTGCCCCTTATAACCATCGGGTTGGTACTGGTACTGGAAAACCGGGCTTTGGTCGGTTACCAACAATACAGCTCCCAGAGTCAATCCCATGCTAGGCCGCGCGGGCCCGGTCCATCCTTAGGAGTGGTGCCACTGGTGCGGTTATTAAGAAAAGTGAAATTGTGTGGTTGATATTAGATTAATAAAGTGTAAATAAAGTAAAAATGAATGCCACCCAAAATTTACCAAAATAGTACTCCCTCCGGTTTTTAATAAACTTCACACTTTCCTTTTTGGGACGATCTAAAATAAACTTCACACTTCCTTATTTCCTTTTTTGGCAAAGAAATCTACATCAAAACAGTGCCAAACAGTGCCAAACAGTGTCTCAACAGTGCCACACAGTGTCAAACAGTTTCTCAACAGTGTACTCTACAGTAAAGTCAAATTTCTTTCCTTATTTTGTGTGAAGTCAAAGAGTGAAGTTTAATAAAAACCGGAGGGAGTATGAGATAGTTAGTGAGACGGATGAAAAATGTAAAATGAGACAAAAATACGGGGACAAAGAGAGCAGTATATACTATGGTGGGTTTAAGCACTTCATATCGTGCTCAAAGAGAGAAGTATTTAAAAAACATAGGTTTTCCCCCAAAATAGGACTTAATGTAAACATGCAACCAAGAGCGATCGTCGTCCTCCCATTTCATACCCGGAAGAAATTAGAAAATCAAAATTCAATACCGCGATTTGCCACAAGGTTAATTTCACAAACTCAAAAAATTGTCTGCAGACCTAGAACTTGAACGCACAACTAAAAATCTACAGGAAATCTCAAAAGAACAAAAGACGTCACAACATGACAACTAAGTCCCAATCTAGAGATTTACCATGGGATTAGCTCTTTTTCAATTTTGTGCTACTTTTCTTTTTCCTTTCATGTATTTTTTTCTTTCTCGCATTGTACTCTTATTTTATATCAATAAACGCCAAGTTGTACGTAGTTGTTAAAAAAAGGGCTTAATGTTCGATTTTCTCCAAATAGGACTAATCATTCCATTTTACTCCCAATTGAATTAATTAATTAATCCTATTAATTGCCCCCTAGTTCTCTTGCACAACCAAGACAGTTCGTTGGTGGGGGCATTTCGGTGGGGGGGGGGGGCGAACTCCGGCGGCGGAATTCCGGTAGGCTACCAGATTTTTTTTAAACATATGTTGAAAAATTAGTAAATAATATGTTGAAATTTTTTAAACTTTGACCTCTCTCGAGTATATATAAACATCTCTAACTTTACCACTATGTGCTTGTTTGGTAGACATAAGTCTCTGGCTTCTAACTTTTGTACTGTTTAAAAAGTCCCTAAAAGCTTCTAGTTGTATGTTTGACATGACAATTTTTATGAGATTTTCAAAAATTAAAAGATCTTTTTTGAGATGCTATCGGGAGTAGCATCTGAGAAAAGCTCGTGACTTTTAGTATTAATTAGTCCTAACAGCTTGTATACCAAACCGAGCTAAATCAAACAGTCAGCTTTTTATCAAACAACTACCATGTATTGTGGTGAAAATTTATTATTTATTTGTGCTTATACGGAAGAACAAGGGGTTTGAAGTTGAGTTTGGTGCTCATTAATACTCCCCGCGTGTTCGTGCTAGTTGCTTCGTATATTGATAGCCTTATAAATATTTAAATTGTTTTTCAGCAAAATTTACATTTTCTTTTGTTGCTTATTTTTCTCTGTGAAAATGTCTGCTTGTAATCAGTATGGTATGGCTCCATTTAATGGAAAATCTAATTTTAGCATTTGGAAGCAAAAAAAATAAATGTATTTTAATACAACAAAAATGTTTTAAAGCAGTTGGCGAAACCTATTTAATTTCTGACACGGAAGATAAAAGGGCTGAAATGAATGGAAATGCATATTCTGTAATTTATTTGAACTTATCTGACTCTGTGATTAGAAAAGTTGGAATTTTAGAGAGTGCTAAAATTCTGTGGGATAAATTGAATGAACTGTATACTGAAACCTCTTTGCCTAACTGGATGTTTTTACTTGAAAAGTTCTTCAAATTTAGACTAGATATGTCTAGGGATATTGAAGAAACTCTAGATGTTTTTATCAAACTTATTTCAGATATTAAGTTGTGTGGTGATAAGCATATAGATGATTATTCCCCTATTGCTCTTTTAAATGCTATTCCTGATTCCTTTGGTGATGTGAAATCTGCTATTAAGTGTGGCAGAGATAATGTGACTCTTGACATTGTGGTAAATAGTCTTAAGAATAAGGAATTAGATTTAAAACAGATGGGTGAGGGTAGAAAATCCGAGGAGGTTATGCATGTGAGGGGTGGAGATAATAGTAGACGACATAGATCTAAGTCTAGGTCTAATTCGAGGCGTTGCTATTATTGTCATGAACCTGGTCGTTTCATAAGAGACTGTCCTAAATCTAGGAAAAATGAGCATAGTGAGCATGCCAATTTGACTACGTGTGAAGATGATTTAGGTGATGTTTTTATGATGAGTAATCTATGTGATTTTGACTACTTGAGTTCTGCGATATCTGATTATTTGGGTAAATCAGATTGGGTGGTAGATTCTGGTTGTACTTTTCATATGTCCCCTTTCAAAAATGTTTTTTCAAACTATAGAGAAATTGAGCATGGTTTTGTGTCTTTAGCAAATGAGAAGAAATGCAATGTGCTAGGAATAGGAGATGTATGCCTTAGGTTCTCTTCTGGTTATGTGCTTACTTTGAAGAATGTTAGGCATGTTCCTGAGTTGTGTTGTAATTTTCTATCTTGTGCTTCTCTTGAAAATGAGGGTTGTAAGGGATAATGGGGAAAATGAATCATGAAAGCTGTGAAGGGTTGTTTAGATGTTTTCAAAGCTGAGATGAAAAATAACTTGTGTGTTTGTCATGCTGAACCCGTACTTGATTCCGTGAATTGTGTGCAACCCTGTGTGCTAGGAAAACAGTGTAGAGTTGGTTTTCCTGACCTGCCTAAGTCTACTAATGTGCTTGATTGTATTCCTGCTGATTTGTGGGGTCCTTATAGTGTTTCCACTCATGGTGGGAAAAATTATTTTCTGACGTTGATTGATGATTTTTCAAATAAAGTGTGGATTTTGTTGATTGAAAATAAATCTGAAGTTTTTTATAAATTTTAAAACTGGAAAACCCTTGTTGAAAAACAAACCGGTAAGAAAATAATTTTTTTAAGGACCACAGTCAGTTTTGATGTCTGCGATGATCAGCTTAGTGATTTATGTGATACGTGGGGTATTTCTACGCATAAATATGTTCCCTCCACACCCCAATCGGATGGGGTTGCTGAGAGGATGGTTAGAACTTTATTAGAGAGGGTGAGGGCTATGTTAGCTTCATTTGGGCTCTCTAATAAGTTCTGGGGGAAGCTATTTGTTATGCTGCTTATTTGTTTAATATGTCCCCGTCTGATCCCTTAGGAGGGAAATGCCCTGAATCTGTGTTCATGAGCAAACCGTTTGACTTGCCAAATTTGAGAGTGTTTGGTTGTGTTGCTTATGTGAAGCATGAGAATGATGAATTTGAATGTAGGACTAAGGAATTTGTTTTCTTAGGATATCATGAATGCATGAAACGTTATAGGCTTTGGTGTAGGAGTGAAACTTGCTTTAATGTGTTGATAAGTAGAAATGTCATTTTTGTTGACAATGAATTTCCTTGCTTGCTTGTTTCTACTGATGTTGCTCCAAATGAGGTGGAACATTTGTCTGTTGTTCATTCTGATTTACTTGAAACTGAGCTCAAATTTGTGAATGAAAATGATTTTCATGGTGCATGAAAATAAAGAAAATAATATTTCTATTAAGGTGGAGCATGATATGAATGTTATGTGCAATATGCTTGAGTTGCGTGATTGCTATGTTATTAGAGATAGAGACATTAGGGAGCATGAGAGAAATGATAAGTGCAAAGTGTTTGACTATATTTCCTCTGAGTTTGCTTTAAATGTGCTTAATTCTCTTTTAATTAAAATCTTTGTGATATTTGGTATGCTATTTTCTTTGTGTTTTGAAAATGTGATACCAAGTGATTATGTGAGCTCAACCTGTGCTAGTTATAGAAATACTATTGTTTCTTTTATTTTCTGTGTACATGCTTTGTGTGGTTGGATTAGTTGGAATCCCCAACTTCTCCCAGATGTTTGTTTGTGTGGTCTATTAACATACCTCATGTTTGTTAATAGCATTGTGATGGTTTTGGTTTTGAACTCGAAAACCGATTGGTAGAGTTTAGTCCATCGTGAATTGGGTTTGCATGGTAAGCTTGAAAAGAAAGGGAACTTTGGTTCTCATCTATTACTTGTATGATCGGAATGATGTACTTGTAATGGTCCGGCGATGATGAGTCTCCTCACAACCTTGCATTGTTACTCTACACCACTTAGG